GTCTTCCAGGCTGCCTATGGTATGTTCTTGATTGTCAAGTGCATCTACAGTTGTTGATGGAAGTTGGAAACATAGCAAAGTTTACAGGGAAGCCCAAGGCCAAGGTTCCCTGGGGCCTGCTTATCAAGTCCCATTTGGAGTATCTGAGTTCCAATTCCATCCCAGAAGGATTTGTGATGAAAGATCCTTCAAAATGGACCAAGGCCGACATGTGGATGCTTTGGAATCATTGGAATTCCCAAGAGGAGGAGGATAAGGTGATTGTTTCATTCATCAAGTGCAAAAAGGAGGATGAGCCATTGGGAAGGCCCTGGAACAGGAAAACCCCATCCAAAAAGAGAGAGTGGATGAGCCCTGGGGAGGACAGTGAAGCTGGGGTGGAGGCCAAGCCCTCAGATTTAGGGGAAGAAATTGGTGGGGCTGGTATGACCCCTATAGCAACTTCATCAGGGGCCCAGGATATCCTTGACTCTGGGAGGGCCCCATCTGAAGATACCCCTCATGAATCCAGCCCTGCTTGTCATGCCAATGGGGACAGGGTGAAATATTTAAAGTCCCTTTGCATCATGCCCAGGTACCAGGAACTTGTTGAGCTTGTAGATGGCTTGCCAGAGACAGTAAGTGATGAACTTTCTTCAAATACCAGGTTAACAAACATTTTGTACAGGAACCTGATGCTGGACCAGTCAACCTGCCTGTCTGGGCATCTTGGGCCTGGAGTGCCCAGTATTTGCCCCAGGAGATGCATGGCAATGGGGATTCCTTCTGGAAGGCACTGTATCAATTGCAAAGTGAAAAGTTTGCATCCACCCAGAAAGGTCTTACCATTGTACTGGGATTTGGTTTGTTGTGGAGGGAGTGCAAAAGAGCACAGGACATAGAATCAGATGACCCTGAAGCTGCTAATCTGGGCTTTTTGCTAGGCTCAGGTCTTGATATCCACAAGGGGGAAGATGTTATGGGTGCAGTGGGGCTGGTAGTTGCAAGACTGCAGCAGAATTCTGGTGGCTCAAGCAGAGGGATTGGTGCACAGGAAACAACTGGGGTCAGTGCAGGGGATTCCTGTCCCACCCAGGGGGGTGGCATGAAGGAATCCTGGAATACAAGAAAGGATGTGAGGAAAAGAAAAAGGGGAGGCAGTGGGGATGTTGATCAGAAGATGGCAAAGGAGGGTGAAGAGACAAGCAAGAAATCAACTAGAGCTTGTCAACCAACCAAGAGAGCTCTGGGTCTTGGTCTATAAATAAACTGTAGATGGTGTGAATCAAAAGGATCCCTATATATGGCTACCCATGCTCATTGCAAGTTTCAAACCCTGTGAGATCACTGACATCACCTGGAGGTGAAGAATAACCATGGATTCAGGGGGTAAGGCCACCCCCCAGTGAGGTTGGCCAACACTGGTCTCAGGGGGTATGTCCATCTGGAAGTGTCATCAGAGTCAATACTTCTGGTAACATCTAAATTGACAAGCAATTGATTATGCCAAGGGAATTTTCAGGGTTTGGCCAACCCTACTTCCAGGTGGTGAGGTCTGTGTCCATCCCCCAGTGAAATCAGCCAACACCACTTCCAGGGTGTGAGTCCATCGCCCAGTGAGGTTGGCCGACACCACTTCCAGGGTGTGGTTCCATCCCCCAGTGAGGTCGGCCAACACCACTTCCAGGGTGTGAGTCCATCCCCCAGTGAGGTTGGCCAACACCACTTCCAGGGTGTGAGTCCATCCCCCAGTGAGGTTGGCCAACACCACTTCCAGGGTGTGGGTCCATTGCCCAGTGAGGTTGGCCAACACCACTTCCAGGGTGTGGGTCCATCCCCCAGTGAGGTCGGCCGACACCACTTCCAGGGTGTGAGTCCATCCCCCAGTGAGGTCGGCCGACACCACTTCCAGGGTGTGGGTCCATCCCCCAGTGAGGTCGGCCGACCTCCCTCCAACATGTCAGCCTATCCACCATCAGGGTCTATAGGCTGATGTCGGTTAGTCCCACTTTCAGGACCAAATGTGCATGTCGGATGACCCACTTTCTGGATTACATGTGACTGAAGGGTCTGAACTCACCTCCACTGAACAACAGTGCAGGATGAAAAACAACCTCTGCCTCTTCTGTGGCAAAGCTGGCCACTCCACCAAGGACTGTCCCAAGTCTACCTCTTGTGCAGCCAAAGCCCATGCAGCTATGGCTGGAACTCCACCTCCTCCACCTGCAGAGAAGGCATAGCCAAAAAATTAGTCCACTCCTCCAGGGAGCTCACACAGCCTGGAGGAAGCATTGATCCCAACTGTGTGCAGCTGGACATCCAACTCAATGTGTCCACTCTCTCTAGTCCCAATTCTTTACTTCTGTCTGTAACTCTTCTTGGTTATTCTGTTGATACTGTTTCTGTGTTGATCAATTCTGGCTCTTCTCATTGTTTCATAGACCTGGCCCATATCAACATCTGCCATAGTACTCCACCCACATGACCTTCCTCCATGGGCCAACTCCATCCCTTACTGAACTACCTTAAGTACTTTAGAATTTTCTCTGCTTATCCATTTCACTTCTCAGAATCACAAGCAAGGTCATGAGTCTATTTCATAGTAGTACAAAATATACAAACTAATGACAAAAAAAAAGAAAGAAATCTACACTACTCTTCCATCACTTGCTCTCTGCCACCCTCCTGTCCTTCTCCACCTTCCAGCTCTCCTCTGACTTCTTCCTCTTCCTCATTATCCCCCTCTGCACCATCATCTGCTTCCTCACACTGCTCCTCCACTGCCTCTGACTGAGGCCTCTTCCAACTACTGCCTGTGTGCTTGAGCTCAGCCATCCTGGCCTCTCACACATCCTCCCTCCTCCTCATCTCTGCCCACTCTGCCCAGGTGTGGTACAGTGCCCACTCATCAGCTGTCCACTCTGCAGCCACTGCCATCTGCTCTGCTGTGTCTGCCATCCTCTCAAAGGCCAGCACAGCAGTCTCATGCACTTCAGCCTGCTTCTCCATGGCCTGCAACAGCCATTCCTGCTCCCACTCTGCCCACCATGTGTGGACTCCTGCACCTGAGGGACCCTTGAGCAGGGTCACTGGTTCATCTTCCTCTCTGCCTGCCTCCTGCTTGTCATCCACCTCTTCTGTCTCCATCACTCTCTCCTTCCCCTTCCCTCATGGTCTCTTCTTCTTCTCTCCTCAGGAACTCCCTGTCCACACTCTCTTCCACAATGGTCTTGCCACTGCATCCTCCCTTGTCCAACTACACACCTTTTTTTTCTTGTTACAGGGCATGCAGGCCCTGGTCTTGCCTCATCCTGGCTTGCACTGCCCTGCTGTCAGGCTCACTACACAGCAAGTGCAGGGGGGCTGCCTGGTTGCAGTGACCACCACAGAGGTCCCAGGGACCCTCTGGGCAGTGTTGACATCATACACTGCACCACTGTCACACACCAAAGGTGTTTGGTGAGGTGGACATGGATACAGCTGATGAATGGAGATGAAGACCATAGCCCTCATGCAAAGAAGGACAGCCAGAAATGTTGGCAGTCATCCCTCACACAAGAACAAGTCATCAGTGCCAGAGAAAAAGAAAGGGAGCAGGTTAAGCACTGGCTAAAGTTCTTAAGTGCCCATGTATGGCATTCCAGTTTTTGACATGTCTCTGCTGTTTCTGCAGACACCAAGACCATTCCCACCCTCGCTTGTAGTGCTCAGCCATGTGATCTTACCTTCCAAAATTGGAAAGGATTTGCACATTCCACATGTTTCTACAGCACTCCCTCCAAAAGATGCTCATTTCACTAAATTCTTCTGATATGGCTGCCTCTACATCAATCATTTTGCTTGTCCCCTTTGCTAGGGACCACGGCTGCATATATCTACCAGGAGTTCCTACCAGCTTCTGTCCTGAAGCATCCTGGTACATCCCACCCTCATCTGTGCCCTCTCAGCCCATCCAGCTTGGACAGCATGTTCTTTTTGTCAGTATGACCTTTAGGAGGATGTTCTTTGGTCACCTCAGGTCTGTCATTTGCTTGGAAAGGTCTTATGTGGTCATTTCAGTCTCTCCAGTCCAAGAAGCATATGGATCCTTCCTCCCTGCTCCCTGCAATGTCTTCATACTGGTCTCATCCATCATTCTTCCAAGATTGTGACAGCTACAGTATAATCTACTGTTCTCCACTCTCCCTGATCACATCCATGACAAGTATGATGCACATCTTGCCTCCTTGTTGCAAGATACAGCAGAAGACACTCCCCCTTCATCCTCTCTTCCAACAGAGCCTTGTTCATGAAGTTTTTATTTGCTTCACTGAGAGGATGGTTTGGGGGGGAAAGTTGCAATCCCCTATGCTCCTGTCACCCCACAGACCCCCAAAGCTTGACCCCTGTTGACATCTGACTCACCCTGTCCACTTTTGGATGTACTATATCAGCATCAGGTCAGTGCTGCCTCTCTGTCATCCCACCTTGGCCTAGAAGTGATCTCTTTGAGATGTGACATGCACAGCCTCCCCCTAATGTGATTCCAGTGCACTTTCCCAGTTCCTGACATTACTTGACTCATACTTTGACATTCTGACTGTCTTTGACTCACCTATTGCCAATACTTACCAATTTTTTGACTTTGCTTACTGATTCTTTGCTTTTTGGCTTGCTAATCCTTACCAATGCTTTCCAGGACGATTACCCATTGCTTATGTTCCTTACTCATCAGTTACCAATCACTTACCAAGTGTTTGCACCTTGTTTTTTAAGGGCAACACCCCTGTACTGTATATAAATCACTGTACTTAGGTAGCAAAAAAAAAAAGAAGACATCAGAGAGCCCCTCTTGCTCACATTTTATCATCACTCAGTAATTCATTCAGCAGCTTTGATAGTTGAGACTTTATTAAGGGTCTAACTATTGTCTACTTCACTTATCCTTGTCTATCATCAATATACTTCACTCCAAGCCCTCCCTGAGCTCAGTGCAGCTTAGGACATCAAATTAAGTCATCATCCATCCTTCTGTAGGCTGACAGCAGTCTACCCTATCACATTCTCTCACATTCCTACTCCTTCTTCATCAGGAGCACCCCCAACTGTCAGCACTTGTCTTTGAGTGTTGTAGCTCACAAAAACCTTCCCAAAGAACAGGTTCTACCATCTGGGTACCACATAGGCACACCACCACTTGCTCTTTTTGTCTTTTGTGTTGGTTTTGGTTGGTTTTCACCACTGAACCACACTTTGACTCACACTGCATAGTCTAAGAAAAATAAAAACTGCAAGTCAGCTCCACCTGACTCATAGTACTCCACCACTCACCTTTGTGCAGCCTTGTCCTGCCTGGCCTGGGCCCTCTGCCTCTGCCTTTCTGCCTCCTCCTCTGCTGCCTTCTTCCTTCAGGCCTCCTCTTCCTCCACTCCACCTCCAACCTCTCCTCCTCTGCCTTCCACCTTTTGGCCTCCTCATGCTTGGCCTTGTGCTCTCTCTCTCCACTTGGTCTCCTCTTGTCAGTGTGCCTTCTCCACAGACTTCTCCCACTCAGTGTTGGTGGAGTTGTCAGTGAGGACAACCAGTTCTTCATCTGTGACTTGGGAATAGTCATGGACATGGCCAGGGGTTGGCTGGGGGGTTTTGCTCTGGCAGATGATGGGGGGAAGGGATGAGGGTTCAGAACCCTAGCACATGTTTTTAAGTGGTTCTTCAGACTCTGACAGAGCTCTGCTGCAGCTAGAGCCATTACCCTCAAGGCATCAAAATAATTTCAAATGATCAACTCATGTTGATCTCATCCCATACATGTGGCCTTTGGGGGTTCAGGCCCTAGGGGGGGGGTGGGCATTGTCATGACTGTGCATTTGTCCTAGGTCCTCACTCACTCCACACCCCTTTCTGCCAGTCATTCACTCACTCCACACCAACTCTGCCTGTCCCCTGATGTTTACAAGTCACCTCTGCTCTGACTGCTGTTGGACTTGTACTGCTCTCCTACCAGACTGTGTGGGCCATTCTCTGAGGAGTCATGTGACTACCCTTTGGACTTCTCCCTGACAGCACCTGGACTGTTTCCTCTTTGGGATGTTCTGTGTTACCCATTCATGTGTCCTCCATCTACCCTTCATTCATTGTCTAGGAGGTTTTACTTGAAGTTTTATGAGTCTCTGTATGTCAGTTCCAATTCTGATTACTGTACCTCCATAGTAGTATAAAAGCATGTATCATACTCTGCTGTTCTTCAGTATGAATATCAACTTAGTTCCTACTCCCTCTGTCTCTGTTTTCTGCCTGTCGGAGTTACCTCTGACTGTCTGTCTGTACTCTCATTCTGAAATATGAGGGCTGAGATCATGCAAGGGGGTAGCACATGAGCTAAACCTGATGCCCTCACTCTGCTCCACCTTTATTTCAGTGGACTTCATTCCTGCCAACACTCTGCCAGTTGGAGTACAGTTCTTTCTGTTGGACTTGCTTCCAAACCTCTCCCCAGACCTTGTCTAGTGTCAGAGTTGGTCAGAGTAGGCCCAGACTTGACAGGGGGGCTGGGCTGTCACATCTCCAAACTGTTCTGCTGTTGCTAGTGAAATGGGGGAATCCTTTGCTGAGACACTAGCAATCAGAAGCTGTTCAGGATAGTTGGCAATCCAGGCAATGAGAGAGGTATGCATGACTTGACAATTTCCTAATGGATCAGACATTTCTTTGCCATCATGATTGGCAATGATCAGATTCCACATGATGAGGGATATGGAAAAGTGATAGATGCATGCAGATAGCATAGCCTGAATGGCCAGTGGTACATTGCAGAATTTCAGGAAGGGCAGATAGGTGACCAATGCAAATGCATAAGAAGTAGCTTTCATATGTACTCCAGCATGTATGTTTGCAAGTGAAAGTAATAGAGGGTGCATTTCTTTATTCCCCATTCCTATTGTCAGAGGTGTTTTATCCGATGCACCAATCACTCCCAGGAAGGAATGACCATGGGGGAGTTGGTCCTATTGCACACATCAGTCAGCTGCTCTCACTAATCAATAGAGGTCACTGGTGACTAACCTGTATGTGCCACACATCATCAGCACTCATAAATTCCCCATATACTCATTCTTGGCCTTCAGCCATAACTTCAAACTCCTTGTATGGAGAGATATCCATACACTGTACAAATACAGGGTTACTGAACAGGTGCTCCACAACCTCAAGTCCATTATGCCAGTACAACATTATTGGTGACTGTGTAGGGTAGTTCTCAACCTTGATTTCTTGATATTGCCAGTGGGGTACATTGGGCAGTAACTTGATGTGGCAATGGAGATCTTTAGCACTCATGAAAGAGACAGGGAAGGCTGAGTTCTACCAAAAGATCTCTTAAGTATGATAACTATCAAAAGGGGTCATATACTCATGTGCTCAAGATGCAAGTATGTGTCAATGTCTTTCTGAGATAATGCACCTCTCAAGAGCCAATCTGCAAGCTCCCATTCACTTTTTGATGCAAAAGGGAAATAGATATTTTCAGAGTTGCAGATAGGAGCATATTCATCCATCTCCATATGATGAAGAAGGTTCATGCCATCTGCATGGCTCACAGGTGGATTTGGGTGATAGACCCTCTGGCAATGGTTGATCATAGAGACTTGATGTGGTGAAGAGACAAAACTGGAGCAGTTAGTGGGGATATTACTGTTCTCTATGAAAAATGCAGTCTGCACATTGCCTTTGTTATCCTCGAAAGGGTTGGGAATATTTGTATTATCAGTCTCCATGAAAAATGTGGTCTGCATGTTGCCTTCCTCATCCTCAAATGGGTCGGGTATATTGAAAGTGTCATAGTCATTGCCTTGTGGTTGATCTGTGTGCAACAAGGAGGAGTTTCTCTAATACCCCAGGTTCATACACATAGGGTTTGTACACATAGGGTTTGTACACATACCATCCTGTGCTGCATCCTTGCCTTCACTGTAGTCATTGCCTTGTAGTGGATCTGTGTCATCAAGGTTCAGAAGAGCTTCTACTGCCCAATGTCCACATTGGCAGTCACTAGAGAGATGTAGAATTACCTCATCAACATCAGGAAATTCACAGCTGCAGCATGGGCAAAAAAGTTGAGGGTCTGCAGGGCAGTCATAGGATAATACAATCAGGGGTGGTGCAAGTCCTGCCATGGTCATAGAAGGCATGGTGGTCAATGGCATTGCTCAGCTGCTGAGAATGCCCTGTGCATTAGGGTTAGGGTCAGTTTAGCTCTGTTCTCTGCCTCCCTCCCTTTGATTTCAGCTTAGTTTCAGCTGCTCTTTCCCCTCTCATTGCCAATGTCATCACCCACAGAATATCTCAGTTCAATTGAAGTACCTTCTTCTTCTTCTGTTGTCCTTCCAACTACATCACCTTCATCTATGAACTCACACACTTGTCCATTCCAAATGAAGGTGCAACATGACACTATATCCAATGGTTTTCCAAAGAATGACAGTCATGCCCATCAGAAATGCAGCTTTGCATTTTCTTTGCCTTCAGACAAGCACTCTTGCCCATCTAAGAAGGCAAGGAAAATCTTGACCTCTGTGAGTACTTTGTGCAAATATCCTCACTGGAATCTTCATGCTCACAAACTAGATATCAGCCAAGAGAGATCAAGAGGTTGAAGATCTTCACACCCTTCATATGTTACAGCTTGCCCATGCAAGTTGTGAGGCCTTTGCTGCACAAGTCAAATTATGCCTGATGCAGATTTATGAACTTGACATTATGTGCACAATTGCCTATGATGAGTATGAAGAAGCCCTTAAGCTGCTTAGGACTGCAGATTTCCAAGTTGGCAAAGTGTGAAAAACCATTAGCAGCAGTGGGACAACCATCACTACTCTTTCATCTCTCAGGCTGTCCCCTGTCCCAACCACATTATCTGTGTTATCTTTGGATGGCATCTCCATTGAGCACAGCACCTCAGCCTCTCTTGGTCCACCAGATGTGTAGATTTATATTCATCTCAATTTCATTTCAACCTTTTCCCTGTACTTATGTACAATGATACAATGTGACTGGCAAGTGACTGGGCAATAAATGATATCTGATTTCTAGCATTAGCATGTAGTTTGAGTCATGTGTGACACATGATATGTGACAAATGAAATGCCAACCATCCTTCCAGAATGTTGAGAACCACAGCAATGAAATTCCTAGATCATGCTGTCCACAATTGCTCAACACATCTGAATATCAATCTCCTCTGTAAGGTCCTTTCATCACCAATGGGATTTGGGGTGGGGCCAGATAACATCTGTGAGTTCCCCATTTTCCTCAAAGAGGTCAATTGATATCAAGGGGCCCAACCATAAAAGTCTTGCAAACCTGTGCTTTTCCCCAAGTCATCCTAGTTCTCATCATTGGAATTGGTATGGCTACATGTACATGCTTTCTTTTCCTTCTATATCCCACTGGCTGAAAGACAAGGCTCACCCCAAGGTTCTCAGCCTCGAGGGTGATGTGCTTCTTGAACTAGGCCTTCCTGAGCTTGTAGGCATGGACATCCAACCACCAGTACAAATGAACCCACTGGCAGCCCTGTTCCACCCTTCCAATCCAACCCATACAACAGACCACCCCCTGCCTCAGCTCTTGGACCTTTCTCCCAAGCAATCCCCAGCAGTGGAATCCCAGGGCCTTCAACATCCTTTGCAGTGGGCCTCCCTACCTTCAAGCATGAACATGTGCAGTATTTTACTGAATTGCCTGCATCTGGTTACTCCTCTAGACCACCCACTGAGGTCTCAATTGCACTATCTCAGGATTCATCAACCCTGGTGGATGACAGGCTGTGGGCCACTTCCACAATGATTGTGGTGAGCCCAATTGGTTGTATATCTTCATGCCTACAATTCTCATTCATCTGACAGACCAAAGGAAAGGATGTTGATGTCCTAGAGAAGCACCAGGGTCACTGAGGTCCAAGAGCTCCATCCCAGGAGCATCTCCAGCTATTTGGTGACTCTTTATATCCTCATGCATATACTTCATGTCATTCATCTTGCAGTGGCTCCCTCACATCAGTTGCTCAGTCAGGTCTTATGTCAGCAATTCTGATGACAGCAGACCACAAGTTCACTGGAAAGCCAGTGGCCCTTCAAACTGGCATGAGTTCTCCAATAGAGATCAAGACATACTTGGTCATGCATAGCTACTGATGATATATGAGATGGTCATCAGGATTGGCTGGCCTGTAATGTCTCCAGGCAAGACTGCTCAGAGGCAATGGAAATCAATGATACATGAAATCCTTTTGCAAGCATCAGTGATCATACCAGGAGGTATGGTATATCTCATCTTGCATCCTACAGTACTTAATCCCCCTGCAGAAGTGCTCTTGCCCACAATAGGGATAGAACACTTGGTAAGGATCATTGACATGAATGTGCTCAAGCTATACTAATTTAATATACTACCAGCTGATGAAATTGCTAACACTTTTTCATGCAGAATTGGCTGGAAAGGCCAGTCCTTATGCCAAAATGTTTTTTGTGAACAATGATATGAGACTCTTCATGGATGAGGCCATTATTCAGTGGAAAAACAACATATGCACATGTATCACTGATGGAAGTGCTTTTACCTCCTTTTTCATGCATGAGCACAAAACAGATGTAAGTCATACTTCTGCTACATACCATTTGGACATTTACAATTATTTCTCAGGGGAAAATTGTCCATTGGTATGGAAACCAACACCTCAAAGACTTCCACATTAACTTCTGGTATACCACTGAGCTGAATCCCATGAAGGTTGCAGCTGCCAAGGATATAAACACAACACCATTGTGGATGTATGCCCTAACTGCTGTAGCAGTAAGTACATTTACTAAAAACTTTTCAAAAGCTCACAGCCATTAGTTGTTTTACACTGTCAAACATGAATCTGAGCATGTCAGAGAAACATTGTCACATGCTGCATTCACAGGCACTGAGTATTCACCCATATATGAAGTGTACTACCACTCTCTTCCCGAAGCAACTCAGAACCCCACTATCAGCTTGGCAGTTAATCACCATCTGCTGTGGCTTCATCAATGCACATTGTGAGTACTCTATATATATTTCTATGAGCTAATTGACACACTGGACTAGGGAGAAAATGAAACCTGCAAATGTCTTACATTCCCCCCAAAAAAAACTGAATATGGTTTATATCCCCCCATGCATGAGATTGTAGTTTATGAAAGCCACCTTGCAAGTACATCGCATACCATCATCATCCCCCCCATGACAGCCATCCCCATCATTCATTGAACTACATTGCATGAGGAGAGTGCATTAGGGAGTGCATCACAGGCCAGACCCAGCTCTTCTGCAAGCTGGTCCATGGGTGTTGAAGGATATGAACTGTTTTCTTATGATTATACTTATGAGATGTAGCATCCATTTTGCATCTTTCTGCCTGCCTCCAATTCTTGATTGATTTGTCAGCATCAATCTGAAAAATGAGTAGATGGATGGCATGAGTGATAATCTTATTATCAAATAAAATACAGAAGATAATGAGATCTGTGGATCTCATCCTGTCATTGCATCATGGATGACAGATCTTGGTTGTAGACTGTTTTCTGACTTGTCATAAGGTTTCAAAACCATTTTTTGTTCACACTCACAAATTACAGTCATGACTGGTCAGTGACAGGTTTAGACCAACTACTGGTTTACTGATGGGCACTGATTAGCTGGTTGCAAATTGTTGTATGGTGGAGATCCCTGTACAAGATAATATCCCTAAGACCTTAAAAGTGATCTTGTCAGCTTTGGTATCTGAATTCTTGCAAACAATGGTACTTATATTCAGGTAAAGTCATGACCTTGAAGTGGTGAGCAAGAAGAGAGATAAGCACTATGCAGTACCAGCCTAGTACCAAGTGTTGAAAGTCAACTTTACCTAGGTGCTGAACTTTAGTTCATCAAACACACAAGTTAAACATGAAAAGATCATCATCATTTCAAGATACAAGGTTCATGTAAGTGATTGAGAGGAGGTAGAGGAGTGGGGGAGGATGATAGCATGAAGCTATGGTGTGAATATCTGAAAGAAATATTGCACAGAGGAACATGAAGGGATGAGAGCAATGAGCAGAACACTTGCCTGTTTAGCTAGTTGAAGCAGTAGGTTTTTAAGTAGTAGTTCTGAGTTGAGCAGGGACTCAATGTAAGAAAGGATGTTCAAATTAAAACTGAGGGGATGAGGTAGAAATCCCTGAGTTTATATACATGTAGTTCTACACACAGACCAGTAGTATATAAGGAAAGTACTACTATGTATAGTATAGAATAGCAGAGAATGTCATGGAACATGACATAGTCAATAATGTCATTTTGACATCATTGTGGAGCTGGATGACTGAGCAAGTCATGCAATGTTACATGTGTATCAAAACATGTAGAACTAGACAGGTCTAGATGGTTGGAACTATTAGATATTTCCAACACTCCCCCTCACTCTAGAATGGGAGATTAGGTAAACCCATTGATGAGCAATTGGTCTCAAACTTCTGCCACATGAGAGATTTAGTAAGACCATCAGCTTTTTGTTTATCAGTTTGAACATATTCAATACCAAATAAGCCATCTTGTACACATTCATAAATGAAGTGCTGTTGGATATCTATATGCTTGGAATGTCCATCTGAGACAGGATTCTCAGCAATGAAGCAAGCACTCATATTGTCACAGTATAATATGGTCTTTTCTGCTTTTAACTTTAATTCATCAAATAGCATATGAAGCCATTTGATTTGACAGGCAGCATCACATAAAGCCATATACTCAGCTTCAGTAGAGGAAAGTGTGATCATCTTCTGTTTACAAGATCACCAAGAGATTAAGGAAGTGCCAAGAAACATGGCATATCTGGTAGTAAAATGATGAGTATCTTTGTTTGCAGCCCAATCAGAATCAGCAAATCCAAATATCCATGATTCAAGTCCAGAATAATAAAGCACAAGTTTGGGAGTAGATGCAATATAGCAAACTATATGCAACACTTTGTTGCAATGATCCTCTGTGGGATTCACCATGTATTGACTCATGTGAATAACTGCAAAAGCAATATCTGGATGAGTACCAAGGGCCATATAAAGTAAGAACCCAATGATAGATTGGTACTGTGAACAGAGTTGGGAAGTTGCTTGATAATTGGTAGGAGCTTTTTCTGGTTGATATCCTGAAGGTAATGGAGTGCAAACATTTTGAGCAGTCTCCATGTTGAAATGCTTGATAACCTTTTTGACATAGGGTATTTGATCGAGATAGATTTCCTTCTTTGATTGATCCTGGTGAACTTGAATTCCAAGATATTCTTTCACTTCTCCTAAGTCATGGGATTCCCATTTCTTCATAAACTCATCTTTCTTGGCTTTGAGAAGACATTTGTCTGATCCAAGGAAGAGTCCATTGTCAACATAGATGAGGAAAATGACTGACATCATTATGGAGCTGGATGACTGAGCAAGTCATGCAACATTACACATGTATCAAAACATGTAGAACTAGACAGGTCTAGATGGTTGGAACTATTAGATATTTCCAACAAGAAAGGTATGATGCTACCATACAAGGACCAGCTAATCATACAGGAAGAAAATGAAATGAAATGAACTTATGCAACAAGCTGACGAGCCTGGGGTCTCTACCATTACAGCAGTTTGCAGTACTGAGGGCACCAGCCAAACACAACAAAACTCATAGGTATCCTAGATAAAATATATATCTCAAATATTTCACTCAATTCTTGATGGATCTGAAAGAAAATTTGATATTCTGAATCAGCATTATCAGCTCTAGGGGATGATGTAGAAATCATGATGAAATAGCTGTTATTTTGGACAGGAAAAAATACTTGGTCATTCTGAGCATATAACAACAATTGCAAGTGATTTACACATTTCTATGGCTGTAAATGCCTCTAGCCATGATCTATACACTGGTGGTGAGGGAACCATGGTGAAAATCCAGTGGTTTTTCCATTGTTTTGTACCAACAGAGAGCAATCTGCACTCCAAATGGTGCCAATCATGTAACAAAAATTGCTCACTCCACATTGCATATTTTTTTTACAAAAGTTTCAGATCCATAAAGCCCTTCAAAATACCTAGGGAACAGTATCATACAGAAATGCACTTTGTTTCACACTTGTTGAGGTAGTTGTCCATGCCTGTCTTATCTTTGTGTGTGAGTTGTGCATGCTGGCTAATCAACTCAGCTGCCTCGATGCATGAGCATGTTTTTCTGTGGTACTGGCCTGCGAGTGTGTGAGTGATTTCCATATGGCACACAGAAGGCACTTTTCTAGTCGTACCCGCAGGCAATACTCTCGAGATCTCAAGCAGTGAATCATCTATCAAGCTCATGTACTTGGTCAGACCACAACTTCTATTGCCATTTCACTTGACATGCCACTTCAAGTCATTCAACGTGTCCTCAAGACATACCATGAAACTGGTGAAGTTGTCAATGAACGACAAATGGATAGGCACATACCTTTGATGTCTGAAATGGCAGTAGAGGTATGTCTAAATCGTTCTAACATTGGAAATAGCATCGAGAGCTGATCATATCCATATCTTAGTTCATGCTGGTGCTTCTTGAACATTCCCCCAACCTCTATCTTGAAGAAATTCAGCAACAATTACTCTTGCTTCACAACATCGAAGTCTCTATTGCAACAATATGGCATACACTCAAACATTTGGGTCTGTCTTCAAAAAAGGTATGACACATACACTTTGATCTCAAATTGCCAGTGAGCACAGTGAGGAAGCACATTGCGAGTTCACCATGGCAATTGGTGAAGACTCTCCTGACCACATTAGCATGCCTCAAAGTTGCTAGAGGTTTGGCTAATTCCTCGGGTGTTTGCGGTGAGTTTTTGGCTGAGAATATCAGTATTCAAACTCCGACTGCTCTCGTCTAATATGTTGTCCACAGCTGCCATGGAGTAGGAGCCATCTGCCCCTCCCCTAGCATCACAACCCACCAGATCAGTGACAAAAGCAGTGGTCCCTCACGTTATATTAGAGAACAATAGTATGTAGTAGTACATGTGAATATGGATGTTTGTCTTGTTTGCTATCAGTTCATTATCCCTTGCTAGATCTCTCTGTTGATAAGCATGCACGCTTTTTGGCGGAGTTTGAATATCCAGTCGGAGCTTAAATATTCGCCCACAAACTCACAACTCAACCACACTTGAGTTTGCTTGCATGTTTTTTCTGCATTTAACTTTGAGCAGCCCTATTGTCTGTATTGATGAAAGTGCTGTGAATGTACTTACAACGCTTCACCTGAATGGATGGAGCCATTCTAGTATGCAGGCACACAAGCATTGCAACTTCATTTGTGGGACACAGTATGTATTCTCCATATGATGTTGCCTTCTTTACATAACACTCTTTCCAACAGATATTCCATCCTTCCAGCTCTGACAATGAGTGGGATAATTTACAGCCATATCAAAGTAGGCGCATACAATGGCAATCACTTTCTCAACTATCTTCATGGACTCCTTGACATCATGAATCCATATCCAGCCCCTCATAGTGTACTTGTGATGGATAATTGCAGAATCCATCACATTGATGGTGTAGAAGAACTCTGCTGGGAATGGTATGTTTTTTTTTTTCTTTTTTTTTTTTTCAGTACACATACTCAAGTAACTATTACAGTGGTGTCAAACTTGTTTATCTACCTCCATATTCCCCTGATTTGAACCCAATTGAAGAGTGTTTCTCGTACTTGAAGGCCTACATTCACCACCATGGCAATCAGTTCCATGCTATCATTGAATCTGGAGACAAAACACTTCCATATTTGTTTCTCTATGGTGCACTTGATACAGTCACTCCAGAAGCTGTGTGTGGGTGGTTCCATAATGCAGGATATTTGTAGCTTTGTAGCTTGTGTCTGTATGCAACATGTATGTTGGTTGTCACAATGATGCATACCCAAAATTTGTGCAATGTATGCTTGCTATAATGATTACTGCGAAGGACATGATGTATGTAGGGAGTATCTACTCTACCCTTGTGCATTTTTTGCATTCCACCTGCCGAACAGCTTGTGCAACCTCAGACAGTAAAAAGCGTGAATTCCCAAG